TTAATAAAATAACCTAAGTAGGAGGCTTTAAATAGAGAACAGCAATTTGGGGGAAAAATAGCATTATCTAACTGGGTAATCCAATTAGTTATTTAAATTGTTTATCTAAATATCGTTTTAATTAATTTTGACGTTAAATTGTATAACTTAGTTGTCAGCCTCCTTCTTTAACCTACTAAGAATGTCTGGAATTGCATTTCTGTCAACTATTCTATCCAGTTTTGTGTCATCTGATAAGTATTCTCTCACTTTTTCATGCAAATCATTAATAGAAAATGCTAAGGAATAGAGGATGCAGAACTAAAACTTATGGCATTCTGGTGGACAACCCAGTGAGTTAATGATTCTCAAACTTTGTATTACCATACCCTCCCATATAATAAATTAATTTGTGTGAACCACACATTCCCATGAATAAACAGAAAGTTTTTATTGATATTATGGTTGACTAAATAATAAATATACCGTCTATTTTTAATAATCAACTCTTAATTTATGTATAACAGAGCTTCTCACACTCTGAATTATATCACACCAATTGCCCACTGCAGGATTTTGCAGGTAAAATAGGGAGCAAAGGCAAAATGAGTTTTGATAGTACTCCCACTTCAATTAGTGTTTTTTAATGCAAGTTTCTTATGGCTTCCCAGATATCCTCATTCGCAATTTGAAGATTCCTGCATTATGTATCCCTGCATTCTTTCATCACAGATACATTCCACATAGTTCCCGTTTTACCTGGATTTTGCAAATCATGGAGAACATATATGTGTTTAAAATTCATTGAATTTTTATGCTGCTCTGTTCCATAAAACACAACACCAACAAGGTCCCTCTCATGGCTGATGATTTTGTTTTTGTATACATTCTGAATGCACTAGTAGGAAAATACAAATAAGTAGGGATGGGAAAATAAAACATAAGTACATCTAATCCTTTTGACAGATGTGGGGTTATAAAGCTCTACAGTATAAATACTTCTAAGTATGGCCACATTTTCTAACACTTGATCTTCAGAACATTTATAGCTGAAAAAAATCTTATTAGGGAGGTAGCATGTACCAGAAGCCACTGCTCCATCTAGTTTAGATTGGTGAACAAGTTTCCATGCCTTTGGTTCTCAATGTTTCAAACAGGAATGCTCCTCAGAGTTATTAAAGGACCTTTTGCATATGGAGCATATGCTCCGTCTCTGAATAATACACTAATCAAGAAATTAAGGAAATACTGGATTGCAACCTCATTTCTGCCCTCTCAATAAAGAATTTTGTCTTACCCCATGTTACAGTGCTATCACTACAATGCATTTCAGAATCTTTCAAATTTACGGATGTAGAAAAAAAGTCATCTTACCTGAATTGTCATATCAAAAGGTGTGAAATTACTATCATCAAAAGACTCAAACATGGTTCTTGAGCCATCCACTAAGAAAAGCAAAGTGTCTCGACCTCCATATTTATATACTCCTACAGAGGTAGAAAATGTTGCATTTAATGTATATCATCCTATTTATCCAATCCAACTATTGTATATTCTTTAATTATAACAATCACATAATCATCATAGCGATTCTGGGACAAAGGATATACATTCCTATACCGCACAGAAATTTAATATAGCTTTTTTTGAGGGGGTTAGCTCAACAGTTTGCTCATGTTGCAACTAACAGCATTAGTTTTATTTAAAGACAATTTAAAGCAGCCTGTTCTATTTGTTCTCATTTTTCAGCAATAATTATACTAGGTAAAAAGTTACCAAGGACCCTTATATCACACCTATACCTATACTGAGGAAAATGTACAATTCACATTGTGCAAGTGTGCTTCCTGTAGGCATTAGGGTACCTACTGTGGAAAAGCCTTGTTTTATCCAGAATGCATCAGTGTATATTTTAGTTTTTCAGGACACTGCACCAATTTTCACATAAAAGAGACAAAATTTTACTTATGCCACTTACTACATTTCATATAAAAAGATGCCTGGTTCCCCCATACCATTGTAATTTAGTTGCAAATTTCCCTCAATGTTTCTATCTGACAAATTAACAGCATATGCACACCTTGAAAATGAGTCTTACCAACGTTTTCGGCTGCTGCTTCTTCTTCCTCCTCCTCCTCCTCTCCCTCATTTCTGTAGTAAGATACCCAGTTTGACATGGTTCCCCTGTATTAACTACAAAAAATGAGTGATACAGATAAATAACTTATAAGAAAGAGAAATGGGGAAACTGTTCCTATATTCAGATTGGTTTCCATAGACAGAAGTCTTTCCACAGATGCAAACATGAAGATGGTCACACATCCTACTTTTGCTTCAGCTCAGTCTCCCAGCTCTTAAATTTATCCATCAGATCAATATTGTTTCACTAAGCAACACACTGCACAATTGGCTAAACACATTACGTAAACAACAGAAATAGATAACATAATAACCATATGCAAGGCCCCTGAAATATAAAGTTTTTAAAATAAATAAAAATAATAAAATAGCCACAGTCTGACAACATCTTAGTCATCTCTTTAATTTCACTTTTGGAAAGAGGTGCTCAGTCTCCTGCACCAAAAGAGATTAATAACTTTGTCAAACTCTGAATTACTGTAAACAAAATATCCCACAGAATATTATTAGAGGGGCAATAAGTAAAATAAGACAATTATAAATCTATCATATTACTGCATGTTATAATTACAATTCCTAATATCCATACTGGTTACCATAAGATAGTATTTTACAAACTTGGAATGCGCTAACAGTATCTACCAATAAGCTTAATAGAGAAAATTCAAGCAATTTAAATGCTCATCCAGTTTGCAAACTGTTGTTAAATTTTATGATAGCATGCCTTGAAATATAAATTGGATTATTTATGATATTTTTTAATTTTATTTTTATCCAATTTTATTTTTATCCAATTTCTACATCATCCATCTGAATTGCATGATTCAGATATATAAAAACATACAATCATATAAAAAAGACACTTAAAAATAGAGTTAAAAATGGAATTAAAACAAAAATTAAAAAATTAAACAATGAAAAGGTTAAAAAAGCAGAGGGAGCTCCTTCAAGCCCCCAGCTACCTTGAGGATTGGATGGCAAGTCTTAAGGCTCTTCTGGAAGGCCAGAGGAATGGGAGCCCATCTCACCTTATGGGGCAAGATGCTCTGTGAAGAAGCAAGTATTTTGCTTTAGATTCATCTATAATCAACATTAGTTGTTGTTTTCACATTAACTTGCAGAGCTTTCAAAAGCAAAAACTATTAGACAAGAAAACAGAGACTAACAAATTGGAATCTAATCTAAAACTGAACTACTGAAGGATAAAGTACATTGACAAAATCAATATATTCAATAGTTTATATCCTAGATAATACAGCAAGTATTTTATCCAGCTGTTTCCAAAGCATTTGAACAGGAATACTGTAGTAACACTTTAGCAATAAATATGTCTTTGTGGCTTTGGTACGGTCACATAATCAACTACAGATCTATATGGGAAAATCTCATGCTCTAAGCAGAGTTTTTCAAACATCAATTTGAAAAACTTTAAGGCTGTGTAAAAATTTGATGAGGTTCCATAACAGACATATGTTTGTGTGGGTGGGTGTGTTTCAGTACCAATTTTCTATTACTAAAGGTTTGCCTCATGATTAGGGGTTCCAGGAATTTTAAAGATTAATTAACAGATTCTGCAGCTTGAAAAAGTATGAAAAAGCCTGCCCTAGAGGAGAGCCTTCTGTCAGTATTCTCATCATCCAGCATACTAGTTTGGGCAAATGTTTCAACTATGACCACACATTTCTTGACAACTATACAAAATTCATCTGACATTCTTTTGATGTTTGAAGGTCCTCACAAGTATATTTACTTTACATCTACTTTCAGCACAGTATGGATTATTCTTAGCTTTTTCCTTTCTTTTTTCACTACGGTCCACAAGGTTGAATCTGTCAGAGTCTCTCAGGCCCTTGAAGCTACTGAATTTTCCTATCATATCAAGTTATTTCATTTGTTACTTATTTTTATTGCTTATTTTTACAAATAACTCAAGGCAGAAAACATATCCCACACACCTTCCTCCTATTTTCCTCACAACAGCAATCTTGTGAGGTAACTTAGGCTAAGAGAAACTATTCCAAGGTCATGCAGCTGGATAAAGCGGAACTAGAACTCCCTTTCTAGTCTGGTGGCTTAGCCAAGCCATAATATCTATATTAATAATAAGATAATTCACGCTCAATTAGTAGATGGAAAGTAGACCGCTAGGAAATCCCAATAGAACAGACAGGAAAATCGAAAGAAGAACTTGGAAAGAGGCAGCAAGAACCCATTTCCTTTTCCCAATATGATCGATGCATTCCGGAGCCTAAAGATACCAAGAGTCGAATTCGACTTGAAGGAATTTTATCGTTTTATACAGGCAGATTTTAGCGGGCAAGAGGATTCAAGATCTAAAGGAAACATAACTCACCTAGCAAACGGAACGCGTTACTCTTATCTATTTCTATTGAAAGGTAATGAAGTCTGATATTAACTTCGTTCTGAAGCCTCCTACTGCACACTTTCAGTAAGAAATGTAATTCCCATACACACCACCCATCAACTTCCTAAATTGTTATCCCTTGTTAACGTCTCGATGTCCCACCCCTTCCGCACGTTCTAACCAATAGCATGCGACAAAGACAGGCTCGCATTGTCCTCAATGATGCCGTCCACATGGAACAATTGCGTAAACTCTTTGGTCCCGCCTTTCTACTGTTCAGCGCTGCTCCCTCACAAGAGGCCCACTGACACGCAGTTTATCTCACCTTACGGGGCGACGCGTGCGTGAAACGAGCGTTCCCCTCGCCGGCCTCCCTCCGCCCCTTTTCAGTCACCTTCTGTCAGTTGGTTAGTCCCGCAATAGCAGCCGCTCTGCTTCCCTTCGGCTTCTCTCTTTTATTTTCTCCAGCGGCCTCACCAGAAAAGGTCGAATTGGTTTTAGGTTTTTTGCAAGCTCCCCTTCCCGTTTCCTCGGCCAATGTCATGGACTCGCCTCCGATGCTGCACTCGGTGAAGCTCTACGTGTACGACCTGTCCAAGGGCATGGCTCGCCGCCTCAGTCCTATCATGCTCGGTAAGAGCAGCAAGTAAGGCATGGAAACCCGCCGCCTCCTCAATTTGTGGGATAAGCTGAGGGGAAAGTGGACGCGGATGGCTAACCGGTCGATACTAACTTACAGGGGAAGAAGCGACCACTCCAGATATGCAGGTCTGCGGGAACAAACGAGCTCTTCCGTCTCTCTCCAGCCTCCTAGACTCCTAGGACTTAAGAGAGTAGCGGGTGAGAAGATGCGGGGTTATTTCCCTTCCCTTTGCTCGCCTGATCCAGGCGATGCGCGGGTCTTTACTGTGCCCGGCCTCTCCCCCCCCCCCCAGCCCGGGCTATGTAAAGGGCGACTTTAAGAGGCCAGATGCCTCTGCCTAGCTTAGAGTCACAACTTTTCCCGCCGACACAAAGGGAGAGGAAGAAATGCTAAGGCCGAAACTCGAAACCAGTCGTTTCCCAGAGTCGTTTAAGGTGCTAAAGGTGGTTAGATGGCAGTTCAAAAAGCCAAAGACACAAGGCGTCTCTTTCGGCATGTTAGAAGGTGTGATAATCAAACCTCACACTTTCATTTTTATAGGCGAATTACAGAGATGACAAAAACAATTATCTCCAGGTAAATAGTATAGTCACTACTGGATAATGATGTCCCTAAACCATTGAAAGTGGCAATTGAATAAGACACTTATTATTATTTTATTAATCAAATTTATATAGCTGCCCATCTCCTCCCAAAGGGGACTCACACAATAATGATAAATAAAACATCAATATAAAACAGATAAAAACATAAAAACTTGCACTCATCATCAATCAAGCTACTATTTCATCAACTCCTGTTGTTGGCATTTTTCATTTACTATTTAAATTTTTGAAAATGTGGCTCTAGTAACGTTCATTGATTATGTCCATATATGTATTGATGATATGGGGATCTTTCTGTAACTAGGCTTACCTTTATCTCTTCCTTTTTCAGTAGATGTTTGCCTTTTTAGTTTTTATTATGACCAACTTTGTGTAAAAGCTCTGCTTGATTTCTCTAATTTTTAAAAGTCTCTTGTTTTCTCATTTGATTATTATCCTTCATTTGTTTGCTTTGCTTATTTAGATATAAATTCTTGCCCTTCTCAGGAATTTGGTGTTTAGATAGGTAATTTTTTTCTGTTGTTGTGGCCTTTTTCTTTTGCCATTTTTCACCTATTTTCAGTCTATAAATAGACATCTTCTTTTGCTTCTGACAGAATGGAATATTTAACAATATGGCAGATTTCTATTAGGATTCTTCAGGGATTCTGTTGAATTTAGTTCATTAAAATATATTTATGTACTCAATTTATATCCCACCTTTTCCAAAGGCAGCCTATATAATGCGCCTTACTCAATTGTTTTCTGTAACAACTTTATGAGATAGACTGGGCTAAGAGAGAGTGAGTGACCTAAAGTCACTCAGTGTGCTTCAGTGACTGAGGTATACTAAAACCAGGGTGCCTCTGTTTCTAATTCAACACCTTAATCCGTAAATACACAGACTCTTATATGAACCTCTTCTTTGATCATCACAGACCATTCCAATGGCATATTGTTGAGATTCATCTTCTTGGCTTGGTCATTTGTCTCCTTTCTTAGTTGAAGTTGGAAGTTCATGATCTGAGCCATAGTCAGCATCATATCTTCTTTTTACTGGCTAAACAGAACTTCATCTGTACTTGCAAAATATGCAGTCAATTTATTCCATTTGGTAACATTTGTGTGTACAGTTGTTTAGATTGGTGAAAAAAGTATTTCTTATGAACATCAAATTATCATGGCAGAATTCTGCTAGTCTGTCCTCTGCCTCATTTTGTATATACCAAGGCCTAATTTCCCACACGACTGGGATTTAGTATTCCAGTAGCCTTTGAAGAAATCACATTTTTTTTTGTTGTATTGACAAGTTATTGCATGTCAGGATACAACTATTCATTATCAGCCTCCTCTTCACCTATGGGATACAGGGATCACCTTAACATTGAACTTCTTAATTGGAACTTGAATTGAAATTCTCCTTTGATTTTTTGAGCTGTAACTTGAATGTTGTTTGCACTGGGTTTAACACTTTTTTTGCTAATAATTATAACTATTTCATTTCTTGTCTGATGTTCTTGTTCACTGTAGAATGTCTGGTGGTTTTTTTTTTTTTTAATGGAAGTGACTTATTCCAACTTTACAGTTTTCTAAGTCCCAGAATGCTTCTGCTCTGATAACATCCAGATGTTTTGGTTCATGATTCTAACATTTTTTGTATCAACTTATTTGTGTGTGTATATATGTGTACAGACACAAACAGAGAGAGAGAGAAAAAAAAGAGAGAGAGAAATATATATTTGCAAGATCAAACTTGTCTTTTGTCTCTGAACATACCAGCAGCTGAACATTCTATCAGCCTTAGTCCAGCCACATGATCATCATCAGTGCTACACATAATTGTACTCTACTGTTCCTCTACTGCTATTGTCCTAGTTGTGAATTGCATTTTGTTTTCTTGGTAGAATAGTGGAATGAGTTGCCATTTCTTTCTCCAGTGGATTGTGCTTAATCTGATCACTCAGCTGTGATCTACTGACTGTTACTCCCTTCTGGGAGTATCCACTCCCAACAGTATAGTTCAGTGATGGCAAACCTTTTAGAGACTAAGTGCCCAAACTGCAACCCAAAACCCACTTATGCATCGTCGAGTGCTGGGTGGGCATGGCCCATTGGCTGGGTATGGCTGCAGTGGTAACGGCAGACTGGGTAGGACTAAAAAGTTCAATCAATCAATTCCAACTTTGCAAGATCTTTTTTTTTCCTGTGAGAAGTTGAAATTTAACTTTTTTTGTGTGTGTGCATGGCGGCGGAGGCCTAAAGCGAAAAGGTTTTATAAAACCCAGCTGAAGGCCTAGGACTGAAGCGATGGCGCACGTGCCCACAGAGAGGGCTCTGAGTGCCACCTCTGGCACCCATGCCATAGGTTCGCCACCACTGGTATAGTTCATGTCATAACTGGAATGGACAACCTCATTTACTGCTACAAAGTGATGATCTTTGAAGGGTTAAATCATTTAATTTCATATATGTATTTTAAGTACATAAGATTTAATCAAACTAGTAACTTTAACTACTGGCCTATAATCAGTAACTTTCGTTTGGATGTAGCATAGTAGATCTTTTATTCTTAAAATTAATTTCTGATCACTAAAAGTGGTAACCAGAGCAGCATATGATTTTATATGATCATATAAAATGATTTTGTATCACTGTCAGAATAAAATCATGGAACTGAGAAGAAGCAAACTAAATCATCTTAATACTATTTCCACACTATTGATGGAAGATTATTTTTAATCCATAATATATATCCATTCCCTGTATCTGCAAAGCAGCACTGAACTTAGATATTCATCTTGAGTTTTTAGGTATCCTCAACATACAAATGTGCATTTGCAAGGTAAATGTTTAGCAGTTGAGGGATTCCACAATACTGAAGTCCAAAAAGGATAATTTTTCTTAAAAATTAATTTACTGTTTATCAAAGTGCTGTATTTCTGTTTTTGAAAGAAAGATTCAGTCAATAATGTGTTGAACTTGCACTGTCATTGTGATGAAGAAAAGTGTAACCATAAGAAACTCATTTGAATTTCAACAGAATTGCAAGTACCTCCCACACTGAACTCTGTACTAATTCACAACTGTCAGAAACCATGATGAAAACTGCTTAATTTCACAACGCATGAATAGGCTTAAACATAGTTTCAACTGGGAAACTGAGTACCTAAACCAAGTCAAGTCCAAAAATGCTAGAGAATACCTGGAAGCCTGACACTCAGACAAATCAACCACCAGCAGACACATAGACATAAACAACTTCTGCATGCCATTCAAAAGAGACAATCAAAAAGCCAACTAGGAAACAAAAAGTTTAATACAACTCACCAGCAATCAGCACCTAGATGGGCAGAGATTAACACCAAGATTAACTTTAGGCTAACAATCAAGAAGCAAACAATATCCCAATCAAGGAATTGCCAAATGAGCTAACTATAAATATTAGTCCAGTCAAGGAACCACCAAGACCATTCCCACCAATAGAGATAGGGCAAGCCAGTAGTTTATAAAATGAGAGCAAACTCCATTCCCTACTAGCACTGATGGTGTTACCTAGTTGGGGTTTTTTGTGAGGAAAGAAGAAATATTTATTCCTTAAAGCAAAACAGTTTGCCTTTAGGGGCAAGTTGCTGAGAAATGAGGCACAGCAGTAGATTTTTATAGGGAGAGCTTGTTCAGGGTGCCATGTGCTGATTCTAGGATGACATTTGAGGGGTGTATGTGCGTGTGTATGGGAGGGGTATGTTTATTCTTGTGAGCATGCAGTTCCTCTGGGAGACCTAATTTAATTAACTCTGTGTTTGCAGACTTTATCAGTTAATATGTGGATTCGGTCTGGGTTAGGGTTAGGGTCATCTGCAAGAAAACAACCAAGCTCAAAATACACCAAAGACTCCACAGTACTAGTTAAAGCTAAGTTTTACTTTTATTGGGCATGTTCTATGAGGTTTTTCCTAAGAGTTTTAATTTCCAGATGGGGAGATGTAGAGTTTTAAAAATCATCTTCCCACTTAAAAGCAACTAAACAGAAAATTCAAATACTGCTTAGATTTATGAAGAACCTGTAAAATTCAATTTCATATATATCTCATCAAAAGCACATACCAATATATCCAATAATATCTGCTTCCAGTTCTGTAGAGATAGTATTGAAATGTTCATATATACTGAGAATTGAGCATGGGGGCAATATTCACTTGATGCAATATGTTGCACTGATGATACATCATTTCTAACATATTAGATCAGATGTAAATAAAAAGTAATTCATCAATATGTTTTATTTGATCTAAGAGAAAAAATTACTCTGAATTATCTTATTATTAATATAGATATTATGAATCAACTTTACATATTACATACGCCTGCCATACTTTAAGAATCTTCAAGAAAAAGAAAAAAGGTGTTCTCACAGGTTTTTAAGAAAATGAGGTAGTTAATCTTCTGAGCTCTTTCTAAGAAAACTAATTTAGAAAGGGTATGTGTAACTCAAAAATGGTGTACTTTTCATGAAGATTAATATATAGTACTTTTATCAGCATAAAGCTTGAGTACACATGTCAACTGGACTGAAGATAGCAAATATAGTATCTCCTTTATTGCTTTAGAAAGTTACAATATTTTAAAGACTGTATATGAAATTATGTAAGGAAATGTGAATTATGATAAGTAAATGGTCACAATAAATGAATTTGCTGATACTTATTGCTTTCTTCTTTTATATACAGGTAAGCAACTAGAGGGCATCTGGTAAGTAACTAGTCAAAATTAATTGGAATGTTTGTACTATGGGAGATCCCTACTGTTATGCTCTACATAATTTACATAGTGTGGTCAAGGGATTAAAAATTAACAAAGAGATCTAATTATTTTGATGTAGTTACAGTCAGTGCAAATAATAATAATCAGAAAGAAGTAGGGCCAGTGGGGAACAAAAAAAGTCCCTGAACTCAATCATTCAAGACCTGGTCATCTCACGTCTGGACTACTGTAATGCACTCCACATGGGTGTATTCTTGAAGACAATTCAGAATCATCAACTGGTGCAGAGTGCGGCAGTACAGGCAGTTCTTGAGGGCCCTAGGATGGCCCATGTTACACCATTGCTCCATGAGCTGCTCTGGCTGCCAGTTTGCTTCTGGGTACAATTCAAGATGTTATCATATTTAAAGCCCTGCATAGCATGGGTCCATGTTACTTGAGGAACTATCTCACCCCCTAGGTCTGGCCCTCCCCACCTGCTGTGGGCCTCAACAATCAAGGAATTCTAGCTGGCGGGTTCCAGCAGAAGGGCCTTCTGTGCCATGGCTCCTGCCCTTTGGAACATCTTACCCCTGAGGTGAGATTGGCTCCCACCTAACCCTCTGACCTTCCATAAGGGCCTGAAGACCTGGCTCTGCCAGATGGCTTGGGATCCCAATAGGGGAGCATCACACCAGAGGTGTTTGATGAATTAAGAAGCAATCTCAGCTCCTCCTCTTGGTGCACCCTGTTCCCTCCCTCCCCATCTTTTAACTATAATTTTAACTATAAATATTTTTATTGTCATTTCCATGTTTATTTTTTTAAAATATTTTTTTTATTATTTTAATTGGTTTTAATATTGTAACTGCCCAGAATCAATTTGATATGAGATGGGTGGCAAAATAAATAAATAAATAAATAAATACACCCCTTCCCCAAACACATTAATAGGAGCAAGCATTTGTCATAAAATGCTGATTGACTGCTGGAGGCAAGAGGTAAAAGTTAAAGGAAGAAGAATGAACTGGGAATGTCTGAAATTCTGAACATTCTGCAGTGTTACATAGGTAAGACAAAACATTTTGTCTAAAGGCAGATGAGACTAAATATTCTGTTTGCATTTGTATTACCCTTGATAAACTGTTAGGTTACATACTGGCTAGAGATTTAGTCTTTCTTTTAACCTGCTGTTTCTTTATTCTCAGGCACACCTCCATAGTTGCCCACAGGGATGAATTCTTCTATGGTAGTGGGGGAATTTCAAGTTGTCCACCTGTAAGTTTACAGGCATTTGAGAAGTTATTCCAGTTTTTTTCTCCTTTACTCAGTTGATTTCAATTCATTTTGTATTTTTTGAAATTAGTATTACCATTCTTACATAGGAAAATCATAAGCGTCAGCGTCACCTGTAAAATCACAAGAACTTAGAAATGAAAAAACTAAACAAAGTTTTGACCAAAATGTGTAAGAGTAGATGACAAATGAAAATTTAAAGCAAAAAAACAGATTATTATTATTATCCTGGCTTTCTATCAAGAGGACATTTTAAAAAAATAAATACAATAAGATATTATAAAAAAAAAATAGGGATTACCCAAATGTCTTGCTGATTGATGTAAAAGACAAAACATTAACTAGTTTTGCAGTCCTAGTAATGATAGTAATGAGATGGGGCCTCCATCAGAATTGAGGACAGCGAATTAGTTTGCGGAAACAAGACAAACTCTGAAAAGAATGGGTAGGTGTACATGAAAAACACCTAGAGACAGCCAACCCTTCCCCCCCCCCCCAAGCTTCTGTTGCCTGGATGATTGTCTCACATTACCTTGCTCTGCGTTTTGTACAATAATTGTTGCTTTGAATATTAAGTAATCTTTTCAACTCTGCAAAACTTGGTTTAAATCAAAGATATTTCTTTCTGAATCTGATTTCTTAATGCAATTATGAGTCAAGCAGTGCTGATTTTAATTTAGCCATATACAATGGGTTTTTATCTACTGAAAAAAAATTAAGAGACTTATCTGACTTACCTTAACTGACAAACTAAAGTCCTGGTCCCTCTTCTAAAGCCACTATATTTCTCTTCTGTAAAGCAAGATGTGGGGGGACTCACATCTCTATCAGAAGCAAACGTGTTTTCCTGCTAGTCCAAGTCTGCAGATTAAGAGGTTATATGAGGATCCTTTGAAATATTACTGTCAGTTTTACTACCAGCAGTGATAACAGATGTGAGTAAATTCTGGAAATTTCCAGTTGATGTGAGCAAATTGTGAAAGTTGCAGAAAGTTTTCAGCTTAAATTATTCTATAAAAGATACTGAGAAATTTTTGTGATGATTTAGTAACCCAATGAATGCAAATTTTGTAGGGTGGAACACTGCTTGGGCCTCCAGATTCTATTGTAGATCTGGGATATACTGAAGTTTCAGAAGACCTCTTCTTAGAATATTTGTCCTCATTGGGGGAATCTATATTCCGGTGAGACTCTGCTGTTTAGTTTCTATTCTAATATTCTGTGAAGGGAATACTTTATTAGAATTCTTTTAATATTTTATATAAATTTTATGTAAAATTCTGAAATTATATAGACACTCTAGATTTGAAATCACCTAAGATATTAGAATATAAGAATAAACTAGGAAGAGTCAGTATACTATGCTGATTACAGTTGATTGTTGTAATGATGTCACTTCTGGATTGATGTATTGTAGAACAGAAGGTTTGTATGAAACAAAATATAGTTAAATAGAAATACAGAAGACTGCTTATTCAGTCATTAATTCAGTTAGCTTTTGATCTGAATGTTGTAATTATGAATTGTTTTTATATGCTTGAACCTTTGAGACTTTTTCTGCGTTACATCTTACTCATGTTCATTCTCTTTGATTTTTGGGTGGATCACAGAGGAGACTCCTATAATCTTTTTGATCATAATTGTAATACATTCAGCAATGAAGTGGCACAATTCTTGACAGGGAGAAAGATCCCTTCCTACATTACAGATCTTCCAGCTGAAGTCCTTGCAACGTAAGTGCAATCTTTTTTTTATATAGTATACCATGTTTATTCTGCCACCTTGCATGCTAACTTTAACAACCATGCCTTCTCAGAATTTTTAAGGGCAAGACAGCTTGGGACAGTGATCTGCCTCCTAGGCTCACCTACAAGCAAATGACACAAGTCCAAACTATATCAACTATATTAAAAAATAAAAAACCAAAAATATTCTTAAATTGGCCACTCTTTTGATGAAGAAAACAGAGAAGTCCCAATTACAGAATATGCTCCCTATTTATATCAGGAACTACATTAACTTCCTTCTGAATTTTTTCCCCCACGTTTTGTCACTACTGGTGGTTATTCAATATACAATAACTTTTACAGACAAAAAAGAGCTTAAGTATATGATTTGGAGGTAAAAAAAACCCTCAGATTAAATCAGCCATAGCATGCAGTCTAAAGTGCAAGAAACATTTTACTGTCATTATACACCGTATTGTGACAGAAATAAAAGCGCAGTAACTCCACCCTTTGCCAAGTAGGTAGGGGTCATGTTTTGGGCTGTAGATAACTGCTATTAAAGCAGCATACAGTGTGTGGGCATCATCATTCACCAAGATGGAGAGGGAAACTTGCATTGTCTGGGACTTCCTACTATTCCTAGAAGTACAATACTAGTTGCAGCATTAATATCTGTCCCAAGATCGTAGACAGGATAATAATTTCCAGGAGTAAAATTGACTTCTTTGATACTAAATTTAAAAGAAGGCTTGTTTCAATTGTTTTTTTTTATGTTTAGAAGCTGCAGGAAAGTGTAGTTTCATTTTTCAGTGATGTGCCATCAAAATCAGCAATCTGCAAAATACGGGGTCCAGATAGTCCTCATTTAACAACAATTTGAAGTTATGGCAGCACTGAATGAATGCTACACCCAGTCCCCCAAGGTACAGCTGTTGCAGTGCCATTGCAGTCACATTTGGCAATCCACCCACACTTACAACCACAGGGAGGTATCAGCCGCTTCCCCAACTCTTCCTTTTGGACACCTTGCCTGGCAGCACTTCTTGGTGATGGCGGTAGGCACTGAAGTAGAGGCCTAGGAAGCTCCAATATTTTAAGCTGATCACAGTCATCCCTGGGCCTCTACTTAATTACGAGCACCACCAGTTCTGCCACTGCTCCTCATTTAACAACTGGTGGGATTCAATTCATGAGGGCACCAGAATTTCCATCGCTAAACAATGTAGTCATGTCATGTAATGCTTTACAACCATATTGGTTGCTATCGCAAATTCTAGTCCCAATTATTATTATTAACCAAAGGCCACCTGTATGCAAAAACAAAAAAGGACTCTGTGGACTGCCCACCTCTTCCCCTAATATATTGAATATATTCTTAGGGCACACCTCTTCAATGTGCTTAGCAGAGCAATTCAGTATCTAATGCTGTGGAACTATGAAGCAAAGAAACACAAAGCCCTCAGAAAAAAAGAAAACAAAAATAAAAATTCCATATCTAGGTTCTGTGCTATTATAAAGAAGGTTTTGGATTGGCTTTTCTTCATCCTGCTTATATAGGTTCATTTCCCCATATGTCTCTTAAGGATTGTACTATAAATAGCCAGTTTCTCACCAAGGTTCTTAGGTGTCTTGTTTTTAAGTTTAATAATTTTGGTTACAGAGGATTTTGAAAACTTAAACTCTTCTCCCATGCTTCTTACTGTCACAGACCATTTGGACAAGCATTACGACCACTTCTTGACTCCATCCAGATCCAGCCACCTGGAGGAAATACTTTTAGCAGACATAATGGACAGAGCTAGCAAACACATGAAAAATATCTCAATTCACAAGGGCATTTCTTTTTAAAACTCTACTGTATTAGATACCTATCTTATAAATTCATGCCATGGTTCAAAAGTGGCATTTTGGACTTGATAGGGAGAATATTTATTGAATTGCATGTCATGTGGTGATATCAGAAGAAATATGGTCATAAAATCAAATAATGTATTTGCTTATTAAATTTGTTTTTGTCTTGGTTCACTTTTTTAACAATCCCCTACTGAGAAAGTAGAAATTAGGAAATCCACCTGCACAAACTAAAGTAATGGTTATCTTAGCCATTTCTTCCCAAATGTACTAATTTCATTACCATTGTTGCAATATTTTCTAACCTCAAAGTTGTAAATTTAACAATATTAAAAAATAAGCTTGAACATGCTTTAATTTTTTATAGGAGAAAAAAACTAAAAACATTCACTGAGAAATTATTTTGAGTCATACTTCTTAAACAGAAAATATAAGCCAGTCTGCAATAGAAATAAATATACACAGTAATAGATTTCTAAGTGAGGATTGTTGATGCCAAAATAACCCTCTATTGCAGTGGTTCTCAACCTTTTTAATGCCGCGACCCCCAACCAGTCGTAAGTCGAGGACTACTCAACTGGTGCAGCACCGTTTGCAGAATGGGACTTTTGGCGGGCTCAGCAGGGCAGAGACAGCCTGGACAATTCCTATTGGCTTTTGAAAGCCAATAGAATTAGACTCTATTCAAGAGAGTCTATTCTATTGGCTTTCAAAAGCCAATAGAATAAAAGGGAGTAGCACAGCTAAGGAAAAGGGGGAAAAAAATGGCGGACTGCGTTGTTTGGTGACCCCTGTGAAATGGTCATTCGACCCCAAATGGGGTCCCGACCCACAGGTTGAGAACCACTGCTCTATTGCTTATTTTGAAAATTTGATCTTTTCAATACCAGATAGAATAGCCTTAACCCTTGTGCTATGTTAATCTTTTGTATGTTAAAAAAAATGTACAATGGGTAGAAATGAAGGTCTTACTGTAAGCAGTGACACCATATTTTAAGGAAGGCGAAATTAATGTGACTAATACAACAAATAACTGATATAATTTTCAAAAATCATGCAATGTACGACTTTCAGATTAATAGATAAGTAATTTTCAATTCTAGAAGTACATCCAAAATCAATGTTAAGACCTATTATTTAAGTCTGAATTTTTAAATCTATAAATATAGTTGTATTGGTTATATCCATTCCTATAAACACCCTCTTCTCCATATGCTAACATCCAGGTTGAATGAGGAGCATCTTGTAGCTGTTTTTTTTAAAACAACAAAAATTATTTATTTAACCAGGTTTTGGGCCCACTTTATTTTTTCCTGTAAATACTTGAATTTACAGGACACTAGAATCAGTTTGAGGAGCAAACAAGTATAATATGCCTTTCTTTATTCTCTGCTGAGCATGATTAAGAAAGTATTATATGGCAATGACAACTACTCTCTGAGAAAACACACACACAGATACCTTTCCCTCAATGTCAGGCTTTCATTATATTAAATTTTTATTAATTAAATTGGATTTTTTTCAGAAACTAGAAGTTCTGTGAACTTTTCCTTTGAGAGGCTATTAATTTGTCTCTACTTTCTCCTAATACTTGGTAAGAACATAGAAAATCTGCTAATACTCAGAGATAATATTCACTTGTACAATATATCAACTATAAAATACAAACCTAATAAAGTAACTACAGTAGATTGTAGTCCAAATATTTTAGTCCCCTTTTTTAAATACAAACTTTGGAAAGATTATGTGATGGACCACAAGCCCCGTTATCTATAAACATTACAGGACAGCTTGCTGGAATTTGGTGCTCAAAGATGCTGTACTAGTGGTGCCAGATGAGAAAGGCTGTTTAAGTTTAAGCTCAGAAAAATTCTTGGTAGGGAAAATAAGTTTTCCTTCCTTTGAAAAAATAGAAGATTCTGAGTGAATAGAACAGTAGAGGAATGAGAAAGAATGCTTCATTGATTCCATGCTTTTGAAATGCCTCAGAACTTTTGTGTTGAATTTTCAGATTGCAATCTGATAACAAAATATTTTTCTATTACATAAGTATTTTATACCTATATTGATTATTGCAACACAGAAAGAATTGGAATTACAGTGAATATAGTTCTGAATGTTCTTTCGATATGACATAACTGTACCTGCTTTTAGAACCACATCTCTTCTTTATCACAATTATTGTGGATGTGTGGTAGAGAAGAACTGCTGATATAAAATATAACATTTCTAAAATTTTAGTCCATAACATATTGGAAGCATTGGCTGATTAGAATAACTTGATTTCTTAAAAGCTACATCCAAAACACACATACTTCCTTGTAAGCTCCAAGATGTCATGCATTCTAGTAAACCTGTTTTGAATTGTAGTTTTAATAATCTAATTCATTGCTTTTTCATGTGTAATTTTTTATCATTCTTTCTGTCAATTTTAATGTACATTTCTCCATTTAACTAGTGCATATGAGGATATGGAGAAATTCCTGGTAGTTACTTAATCATATTTTTGGAACTTTCCTTCCTATAACTTTAACAAATGCAAAGTAAACTCATGTTTACTCAGAAATGGTACCATTTTTTCCTACAGGATTTATTCCCAAGCAAGTTTGCAACCCAAGATAGTTGTCTTCTCTAAGAGTAAAAGGAATATTCTACTTTTTGCATTATGATCATGTTGTCCTCTCTGTTACTTCCAGTAAAGAAATGATTCTTTCTCCAGCATGACGGATAGAGAATCCACAAGTGGGTTGTCTTAATCCTCCTGCTCAAATTAGACTAAGTCTGGAAAGTTGCCACGCCTCCTGCTAGGCTAGAGCACTCCAGTTTACGACTTAGTCTCTTGCTCAGCAGACGCGTAAATTGTGCTCCTTTCCAGATTTAGCTGCAGGTTGTATTCTTTCCACTTGTGGATTTTCCTCCTTCATTACCTTAATTGGAAAATCATTGGAATTAATTTGGCTCACTTTCCCTCTAAACCGCCCCTTTGGCACACCACCCTATGGTGCATTCCTTCATCAAGGGGGTGACTAACGCCAAACCACCAGCGGTCCGTCGTTATCCCTCTTGGGACCTACCCCGGGTCTTACAGGCCCTTATCTCGCCACCGTTTGAACCCATAAAGACATGTACACTGCAGCTACTGTCTATGAAGGTGGCTTTCCTCGTAGCGGTCACGTCAGCCAGGCGAATATCTGAGCTGGCTGCCCTCTCCGTTAGAGAGGACCTGTGCGTTTTCCATGCGGACAGGGTGACCTTTTGCCTGGATCCTTCATTTGTCCCCAAGGTTAATTCCTTGTACCACAGGTCCCAGGAGGTGGTGCTTCCTAATTTTTGCCCTCGCCCATCTCATGAACTAGAAAAACGATGGCACACTCTGGACGTTCGGAGGGCCCTGCGATGTTATATCAAATAGACTTCTGCCTTCCGTAAATCCAAGGCACTGTTTGTTTCCTTTCAACCTCTTCCATGGGTCAGAAAGTTTCCTCCTCGACATAGGCAGGTGGATTAGGGCTTGCATTGTGCAAGCATACCAGTCACATTCATTGCCCGTTCCTGGTCGCATCACTGCCCATTCCACCCGCAGGGCTGCTATGTCGGCGGCTTGGGCAACCCAAGCATCTATCGGTGAGATCTGCAGGGCGGTGACTTGGTCTTCACCTTCCTCGTTTATCAAACATTACAAAATAGACAAATTTGCCTCCACAGATGCCTTGTTTGGACGGAGGGTATTACAGCAAGTGGTATCAGCCAGTGGGACACAGGAACAGACTGGTTCCCCCCCTTAGGAACAGCGGGGCTTTGGTATGTCCCACTCATGGATTCTCCATCCATCATGCTGGAGAAGGGGTGTTGTCTTACCTGAACGCCTTTTCTCAGCATGATGATGGAGAATCCACACCCTCCCTTTAGTGTCCGTCAGGTCCTATGTCCAGGGTAGGAGGAGCCTTTGCGTTGGACTATTGTCTGTGCCTCGCCTTCATCGTAAACTGGGGTGCTCTAGCCCAGCAGGAGGCATGGCAACTTTCCAGACTTAGTCTAATTTGAGCAGGAGGATTAAGACAACCCACTCATGGATTCTCCATCATCATGCTGAGAAAAGGCGTTCAGGTAAGACAACGCCCCTTCGCTTTCTGGAATACACTGTAGGCTCTATTTTCAGTGATATGCAATAATACTTAGAACTTCACTGAACAGAGACGTAAAAGAGACTGCATTTCAAACTGGTGTCTCAATTCTAGGATATGAATTATTTGTACTGTATGTTATGTTCCACACTAGGTGACACTATTGACTAAGGTCAGTTCAGAGACAGTAGATCTGCTTTATACTTGTGGAAAAATATAGCTGCATTCATATCTAACATTTTTCCCATCCTTATATTTATAAGTTTACATAAAGTATGAAACGTGCATGTATTTAAATTGATATGCTTTTAATCTGTCAATGGGCATGGAAAGCTGAGCAGTCTGTATATGACAGCAAAGATCTGGCTTAATTAACAGATCTGTCATTTCCAGGAATTCCTTATTGTTCTTGTTTTATAATTAAAATAAACCTTTGTCGGAACCCACTTGAGTTTCTTGTTTTATTTTGGCATTTTTGCCTTCCTATTTATCTTGATAGTTATAATATTTTAGATTATAACTATTATATTTATTATATTGATACAATCAAAGTCCTTTTTATAATCAGTGAAGCACATAGTGACTTCTTTTGATAGTCTTTGGCTTTTTTAATTATCCAGCATGCATCACTAATAATGTTTCATGTTCCTCAGCCTTTTTGAAAGGAAGCTTGAACATCTGGCATTTCCTTTTCTATTCAGGGCTCTAATTTGTATTAGACTGCTAATCTACCTTTAAGGTATCTTGCAGGGGTTGGGTAGGGAAATGCCCTTTATGCATGATGAGTGAGATAGTTATGACCTAAACCAAGGTTATAACCTAAACCAAGGTCAGATGAATGGCTCTGGCTCTGGATTTTCCTGTCTCTGAAAGCATACTTGGCATCTTCAGTACAATAAAAGTTTTTTAATTGCTCAAGATGTACCTCTTCACATAAGCCTTAGGGTCATGCCAGCAGTGCTTAGCTGCTGAATGATAAATATGGTTTATATTATTTATATTAGTACATGTATCAGAAGAGACATTCCAAAATACAGTAGTAACCCAAACTATTTAGAGCAGTTTCAGAATATACATACTACATTCAGTGGGGGGGGGGAGGGAAACATTTTGTCAGAGCATGCACAGTCTTATTGCGCTGAGATAACCCAGGAGTAAACACGGTAAACAGTGGTCTATATTAAATGGTGGTTTATCTTACACTATCTACAATATCATATACCAGGAACAATATACATATACTTGTTACTGCAGCAGTCTCTAACATACAGCAGTTACAGCAGGAAACAAAAGAGAGAGCACACATCTGCAGAGCCTTCCCTTTTATACAAGGCTCTTAAAAGAGATACAGACCCTGCTTGCTCTTAAAGGAACATAGACCCTGCTGAGTCATTCCCAACATTACATCATACATCAGCTGGTTAGCTTCTAAATCGGGTTCTCAACCTTGGCAACTTTAAGACTTGTGAACTTCAACTCCCAGAATTCCTCAGCCAGCAAACTGGCTGAGGAATTCTGGGAGTTGAAGTCCACAAGTCTTAAAGTTGCCAAGGTTGAGAACCCGTTCTAAATCGTCATCTTGACATATTTTCACAATTCTATACAACAAATGGAAGCTGCAAAGTCACCCAGAATTCTGTAATTTATCTAATGCTCGAATTGAATCGTGTATACCTATATAATTCCCATGATCAACAAATCCATTTCCTTTAAAGACCAGAATATCAAAGGTACTCCTAATTTGGAATAATTCAGCTGGAAAGTATTTTATGGCCAGGAAACTATAAATTCTAGTCCCACTTTAGACATGAAAGCTGGAAGGGTGATTTTGGGCCAGTCACTCTCACCTCAATAGAGTTGTGGGAAAATAAGAAGAAAAAGGATTATTTGTATGTTTTTCACCTTAAATCAGTGGTGGCGAACCTATGGCACACGTGCCAGAGGTGGCACTCAGAGCCCTCTCTGTGGACACATGCGCCATGCCCCGGAGATGGCAACCATCCCTCTGCAACCAGCCGCCCACTAACTCGCTGAGGTCCCACATGGCCAGATGCATCACAGCACCCATGCGCTCGCTCGCCTCACCCTGCAGGACAAGCCTCTTGCTCACCGCCCCACCTCCCAGAGACCCCCTGGATCTCCCCCAATCCTGCCTGGCCCCCACACGCGTCCCTCCCCACAAGCAACATTGAGGTGATCATGGCCACCTTGGCTACACCCACCCAGTCTGCCATGACCACCACAGCCACACCCACCTGGCACCCGGCGATAAATAAGTGGGTTTTGGGATGCAGTTTGGGCACTTGGTCTCTAAAAGGTTCGCCATCACTGCCTTAAATTATTTATAAAAATAAGAAAAGCAGGGTTTAAAAATCTAATGTCTTCAGTCAAGTTAAGCTTTTTTTTTTTACCAATATCTGAGATACCGCCTTTGCCCATTCATCCACAACTGACCTAAAATCTGGGTAGCTGCAGCAGCTACATTTGCCAGGAAAATATTAGGGAGCAATGAATTTGTTTAGTTTCTAGTTGATTACCCATCTGGACATTGACCAAAACTTCAAGCAAGGCTGCTTGTAATCTATTTTTATTTCTCAAGTTCTGTAGTTGGATCATTCAAACAGAAACCCACTCAGAACAAGCAAAAGCCATTTGGTAGGCAAAGGGGCCCCACATGTGTAAGCTTGCAAACATGTACATCCCTGTGCAGCTGCATACAGAAAATCTAGCAGTCAATAGGTGAACTGTAAATACAGCAGCAGCTATGCAGACAGCCACCTTACATGAGCTCTAGGTATAAGGTAGCAGCACTGATAAATCCCAATGAACAGAACCAGTTCTTACTTAAAAGGATCACATTTCTCCTGCGTATCACAATTCATCATGTTGTGACTGTGATCTCAAAGGATACCTCATTTAAGGATAAAGGTTATTATGGAAACCAGCCCAACCCGTAAGCTGAGGCAAAGAGATGCTTTGCTTTGTAACCCACTATTGTTTTTCTTCCTATTCAGTTGCGGTAGGATATTAATGCAATAAATGAATAAAATTATAATCCTGCCTTACAGCCCACAGGGATTAATCAAGAACCCTAATGCATAGAAATAAATTAAGTTCATCTCATCTTCCTGCTCAGTCTAGATCTGGGCAATAAATGCAAGGTTGTGCTCAGAACAGTGCACTCAGTTGTCTCAGAAACAATTTGTCAGTTTTTCCCATCTTACATAAGGGGAATTTTGATATCAAAACTGGATCAGAAATTCCATAGAAATGTATCTAGAAATTAAAGATTTGTTTCAGAAACCACAGAGTATTACATCTTCTCTGAAGTCCCCAATCTACTGTTCTTCCTTTTAATAATTTCATCCCATCTTCTGCTTTCACAGCCAGTGAACACATATTAAAACTTACCTTTCAGATTCTGTTCTTTCTTTTGCATCATTAAATGTAGTCCAAGATATGGTAGCTGGGAATAAAGCTAGGAAATAGATCTTTATATAATCTTGGGTCTTCCACATTAAAGTGATAAAAGTGGTGTGTTGTTTGTTTCTCCTAGGTTACACAGGAGCAAAGGGATCAGGGTGTGTCATTAAGCGGCTGGTTGCCATACACAGTCAGATTCCTGGGGACTGTTTTGCCATCTAACAAAAACATACTGTTTCTTAATTAAAGAGGAATAAACATTAACTGTTAGGTTTAAAATAGTTATAATTCATCCTTGCTATAGATAGTAGCTTATGCTTGTTTTTTTAAGGGTCAGCCAGAAAAATTTAAAGCTCCAGATTTTAAGATGTTTGTAGGCTTGATGAACTGATCTTTTAAATAAAAAGTTAGAATTTCCTAATATTCTTTTCACCAAAAATAATTAAGTGGTATATGCTAATCTTCTGCCTTAGCCCAGAAATATGATTAAACTGGAAATTTAGTGTGAAGACTTGCTATGTTCCAGATGTCATTGATTTTGCCTTATATTGAAAGCAAAGCAATTGCATTGATCAACAATCCATTTACCACGATCTGAGTTCAACTTTGTGTCTTGAGCTTTATCTATGTTTCAGTATGCTGTCTGTGAATTTGTTTCATTTTTTTAAAAAAACTTCCTGCAGTTCACCATTTCTCAAGACTATGTAGAGAAAGTTCTTAAAGAACAACATATTGTAATGTGGAATATTAATGTAATGAACGACCTTGACAAATGCTTTTTAAAATTGGAATTTTAATTCTAAGGCACCACTATTGTTTTCTACCTTCTACAGTGCAACATTTTGCCAAAAAGAATTAACATATTGAAATAAAAAATCCCAAACGTATATACTTTTGTCACTTTTTGGTGGATCATACACAAAGATATTATCCCTCTGTATAGTTTGGATTTTTCTTCCATGGATCAACAAAGTTGTTTTTATTTTGTATATTGAAAGATGCAGATGTATGTGCAATGGTTCCGCAAGAGCAGTATTTATGCCAAATATTCCTGTCTGACAATTTCAGGGCTTTGATCTACAATGATGTTGTGCAGCTTGCAAGTATCGATGATCTATATCCCAAAGATGCTTTTCAGAGGCAACTGGACTTTCTTGCAATAATAATAATAATAATAATAATAATAATAATAATAATAATAATAATAATAATAATAATAATAATAATAATAATAATAAGGTTGGAAGGGACTTTGGAGGTCATCGAGTCCAACCCCCTGCTCAGGCAGGAAACCCTACACCATTTCGGACAAATGACTGTCTAATCTCTTCTTAAAAACTTCCAGCGTTGGAGCATTCACCGCTTCTGGAGGCAGATTGTTCCATTGGTTAATTGTTCTAACTGTCAGGAAGTTTCTCCTTAGTTCTAGGTTGCTTGTCTCCTTGATTAGTTTCCATCCGTTGCTTCTTGTCCTGCTTTCAGGTGTTTTGGAGAATAGCTTGACTCCCTCTTCTTTGTGGCAGCCCCTGAGATATTGGAACACTGCTGTCATGTCCCCCCTTGTCCTTCTCTTCATTAAACTAGATATACCCAATTCCAGAAGTTCCTTACATGTTTTAGCCCCTGGCTTCTCATGCAAGAAGCTTCTTCAGAGAAGTGAAATGTCTTCAAGGAAAAACAAGAAAGTCCAGTTACCTCTTGAAAAAGCATCTTTGGGACAACTATGGCCTGGATGACTGAGAATCTCCATAGACGTTTATCAATGATCTAATTAGTAACTGAAAATGAAATGCTCTAGTTCATTAATTAAATCAGCATAAATGGAATATTCTTGTAAACAATACTCAACTCTTCAAGTCCTATGCATTCCAACAATTTTTATGTTGCCTAATATTTATATTAGATTACACTGAATAACTGTGTGTCGCTGTGGGGCATCCGTAATAGACTTGGCTAGAGCCGAAACTGGGCAGGACCTGTAGATCGCAGTAGGCATGGTCAAGCTGTTGCCCCTCCCCCCGCACCTCATTAATCTCAGGTATAGCCTTTCATTCATTTATATGCATGAGTGCGTACATATTTGTAAACAACCCTTAATGTAAACTCGCACGTGACTATCCCATGTATATAGATGCGGCCACTCATTCAAGAACACGTTAAAGGAGAGGACGTATGTCGAGAGTGGCCAACCCCTTTCTACGCCTGCAAAGACCAGAAGAATCTTGGCTTACAACATTCATTCCTCTCCGGTTTTGAGAAGCCGGCCTAAGGTTTCGTAAGGGTCCGGATCAGCCAAGCTGCCCTGGGAGTTTTAGCGCAAGAAATCGCGGCCAATCCTCCGCAGCCCTCAGGCAGGCCCAGACGTGTTGCCAGCCCGGTTTCCAAGGATCACATGAGCAGCTCTCGTCTTCCTAATTGGGTCCTTCGAGGGCCGACACCTCCGGCGGATCGTAGCCTTCTCGCCGCTGAGGAGTTGCGGCCGCCGAATAAGGAAAACGGGGTCGGCGTGCAATGGCCGATACCTCCGGGAGTCCGCCGCGCATTCTCTGCCTCTTTGACGTGGATGGGACCCTTACCCCGGCTCGGCAGGTAACTGGATCGGTAACCCTCGCCTTCATCCCTCCCATTTTCGCGATCGTCCTCAGCTCGTCCTTGAACACTTTTGCGGAATGAATGGGGACCGGGGGATCCCGGGAGCCTGGGCGGTCGGGCGGGACTCTGAAGCGTACCGCAGAGCAGTGGCGCCACCTGAATCGGAACCTGAACCTGGGAGCACAAGGCGAGCCCAACGGGGAAAAAGTGACGCTTCTCCTCTTCTATCTCAGTCCCGCCCTTTGAAGCCCTGATGGGAGGCGGTTGCGAGAGACGAGACGTGGGAGCTCAGTTGCCTTTATATGCGGGGGGAAGCAGCAGATTGCCCGGGGTGGGTTTTTCAAAAGATTTCCATTCGGCGCCGATTATGTAAGAAATGTAAGAGGGTGAGCGACTCAGATTGGAGAGATTAAATCCGGAATTTTTACAGTACTACGGTAGAGAGTAACTTTCACTTGAAGCGAACTCAAGCCCCCCACTGAGCCTAGGGAGTGCTTACCACAGGATTGGCGTATATAGGATTAATACGATCAACGAAATGTATCCAGAAGTGCCCCTATCAATCCAGTGTTCTGTAGGAGCAATTTAGCCTAGGTCTAGGATATAATTGTAGTCCTCAACTTAAAACTGCAATTGGGCCTAATATTTTGGTTGCTAAGCAGGACAGTTAAGTGAGTTTTGCCCCACTTTATGACCTTTTTTGCTACAAGTGAATCACTGCATTTGTTAAATTAGTAACATGGTTGTTTAGTGAATCTGTCTTCCCCGTTGACTTTGCTTATCAGGTCTGAAAAGGTGATCACATGACCTCAGAACACTGCAATGAACCAGTTGCCAAGCATCCAAATTATGATCATGGGGATGCTGCAACAGTTGTGTGAAAATGGTCATAAGTCACTTTTTTCTGTGCCATTGTAATTTCATAGACTCAACAAAAGGTTGTAAGTTGAGGACTACCTGTAGTGCAAGTGCAACACACTTGGAACTACTATAATGGGCTGACCATTTAATACTTAGGTTCATTCATTCTAAGTATTGCTTGGAGATTTATATCCATTACTAGACAACCCAAAACTGTTGGGTCATTGTTTCAGATATTTCCTCACCTAAACAGAGAAACCAAATGGTGAAACATGCAAGCAAAATATCAGTGGGAGTGTGAGCAAACTGCAACTTCCTGTCGGCCTCCCTATTGAGTTTCCTGTGGAAAGCTTGCAATGAGCATTGGAAATCTTCCTTCTCCCTTTCTCCCTGTTCCTTACTTCCTTCCCCCTTTTCTTCCTCTCTCCCTTCCTTTATTCCCTGCTTTCCTCCTCTTGTATTCCTTTCTTTCTGTTCCTCTCTACCTCCTGGTGACTGGACTGCTGAGTACCATATAAATCAGCATTGTATGAAAGCTTAATTCTCTTTGTCTGTTTTGAAGCTGCTGCAAATACCATTCCTCCAGTGACATTTTTCCTTCAAATATATTACAATTAGAATTTTAATCCATTCATCTTATGGCAGAGCTAATAGTACCTGTAACCAATTTTAGTATAATGATTGAAAATTGAAAGGGACTATCAAGCTTTATTCAGTGCATTTCCAACAAAATGCAACAAAATTACTTTCTTGGTATTTTAATCAGGATATCAATCCAGCAAAGAAATGGATGAGGGACGAATCATGCACTGAATAAGTCTTGATAGTAGTCTCTTCCAACTTTCAATTACATTTAGGTCAAATTCTGAAAAACAAAACACTTGGACAAATACAGTAATATCTTGCCCTTTATCAAGGTGATCAGCACATCACTACCCCCAACCATCATTTAGAAAGAAAATATGCTCAGCACTAACTTATTATTCAATCATTGCCCTGAAGCAACAAAAACCATGACAGAATAGAAAAGGAGACCTAGGTAATACAGCAATGTCTGTTGTTTATAAAAAGAAAGACCAAGAGGTTCTGAGTGGTTAAGAATGAGATAGAAGAGATATGAGCAGAAGGAAAAATTGGCCATACATTTCCAGTCTCCTTTCCCTGGATTGTCCAAAGCTCTTACATTTTATTGTTCTTCCACCATTTCTAGATAAGGGTTTTCTAGCCTACTGATTACAATTTATCTGGTGATTTTAAACATCAGTTGCACTGGCTTATGAATGCTTATTCCACCATGATGGATTTATTTGATTTTAACACAGGATATAAAGTTTTGTGCATGTGTCTGTTCCATAATATCAGCATGTTGCTATCCATAGGTTTTCCATAAGAATCTCTTTTTCTGTGTTTCCATCAGAAAATTGAGCCTGAAATAGCAGAATTTCTTCAAGAGTTGCGTAAAAGAGTGATGATTGGGGTGGTTGGAGGCTCAGACTACTCCAAAATAGCAGAACAGCTTGGAGAAGGGGATGAAGGTAAGCAAGGCATATTTCTTTTATCTAACTTAATTTTTATATTGCAGAATTTTTATTATTGTTTGGCTGCATATTATTTTTTTTTTTATTAAAAGTTTTATAAGTTTTACAAAAAAAGGAAAAAAACAAAACAATACAAAGACAAAAAACATATACAAAGAAAAAAACTAAACATTACACAACAAACCCTCCCTTCCCCAACCTCCCCCAAACACCCCCCCTTCTCCCCCCCCGAGCTTCCCAGAGCAGAATATAGGCTTAATTAAAAAACAATCAGAAAAATTATATTTTAAAATATATATGTATATATATAAAAATAAAAATTAAGAAAAAGCTATATAATATTTTTAATATCCATTTTAAACTGTATAAATTTTATCCATTTATCCCAAACAGCAAGAAATTTCTCTTGCGTTTGTTGCTTTAAGAAAGCCGAAATCTTTGCCATTTCTGCCAAATAAGACACTTTAAGAACCATTCCTGCAATGTAGGCAAAGATTCCTTCTTCCAATATTGTCCAACTAACAGCCTCGCGGCTGTAATCAAATTTAACATCAATATAACCTCCTTTGTATCACAATCAGTAACTATACCCAAAAAAAATAATTGCGGAGTAAATTTTACCCTCCTTTTAAAAATTCTCTGGATATTCCACCATATCTTAATCCAAAATGCTTTTATCTCTCTACACGACCCCCAAATATGATAATAAGTAGCATCCGTACACCCACATCTCCAACATTTGGGTTGTAGGTCAGGGTACATAAAAGACATTTTTTGTGGATCAAGGTGCCATCTGTAGAACATTTTATAGAAATTCTCCCTTAAATTCTGTGCTTGTGTAAATTTGACATTTCTCACCCAAATAGTTTCCCAGGTATCCAATGGAACTAGCTCACCAAAATTCTGCGCCCATCTAATCATACAATCTTTAATTAGTTCCGTTTCTGAGTCCAATTCAACTAGAACCCCATAAATTCTCTTAATGTGGGCTTGTCTTTGATCCTTCACTTGCTTAATAAAATTTCCATCTTCTCTAAGAAGGCCCACCTTGCAATCCACCTTCCATCTATCTGCTAATTGCCTATATTGGAACCAAGAGTAAATAATATTTTCTTGTGCTAACTCTTCCCGTGATTTTAACTGCCAGTTTTGTCCATCCCACCTAAGTAAATGTCTATAAGACACCATGTCCATTTTAGCACCTCTTTTTATTCCTTCTATCGCATGCCAAGGTATAGCCCATAATGGTACTTTAAAATCACTTTTATAATATTTTCTCCAAGTCCTAATTAAGGAAATTCTTAAAATATGAGATTTAAAAACCCAATCCATCTTTTTGTTAAATATTAAATAGGCATGCCACCCAAAAAGTAAATCCCATCCCTCGAGATAAAGTATCTCAGGATTTGTCAGTTTGGCTGCATATTATTGAGTGGCTGCATATTAGTGTCAACTCATGTTAGTGAACCATAATTCAAACAAAATGTAAACTTGTGTTGAATTCTCCTACAGCAAGGCTGCTTTAAGTATCCTAGACAAGTTATTACTTTTAATGTAAAGATTATTAAGAGTTTCAACCAAGAGACTGGGCATTCCTTCCTATGCAAATGCTTTAAAGCAGTGGTTCTCAACCTGTGGGTCGGGACCCCATTTGGGGTTGAACGACCATTTCACGGGGGTCGCCAAACAACGCAGTCCGCCATTTTTTCCCCCTTTTCCTTAGCTGTGCTACTCCCTTTTATTCTATTGGCTTTTGAAAGCCAATAGAATAGACTCTCTTGAATAGAGTCTAATTCTATTGGCTTTCAAAAGCCAATAGGAATTGTCCAGGCTGTCTTTGCCCTGCTGAGCCCGCCAAAAGTCCCATTCTGCAAATGATGCTGCACCAGTTGAGTAGTCCTCAACTTACGACCGGTTGAGTAGTCCTCGACTTACGACCGGTTGGGGGTCGCGGCATTAAAAAGGTTGAGAACCACTGCTTTAAAGTCATAGAACAAAGCAGCAAAATCGAGTTTTAAGGCTATTGAGCACAGGAGCAGTCTTGCAAGAGGTCTTCCTATATTCTTTCCTTGAACTTATGTGGCAAGCTTTAAGTTTAAATGTACAGTTCTGCATACATAACCAGAAAACTCAGGTGAAAAAAATCAAGGATAGAAACACTCTATAATGCAGGGATATAGGAAACAACAGAAACTTGCAATTTAAATTTTAGCAGACTAAACTAAAGTAACTTTCAGAAAAGAAAAAGAAATCATGAGTTTTATTTTTTGTTACAAGCAATCAGTCCCCTACTTGTAGCCCGCAACAATCTTACGGTTGGAAATGTTAATATTCCATGCTTACATAAATTTCCATGAAAGGGCTATGTTGTTTTCCAGTCCAAGTTTCCAGATACACCATTAAATTAGTAGAATTTCACTGTATGCTTTCAGTTTAAGCTAGATCCAGTGCAATAAAAAAAATGGAACAGTTATTACGTATCCCTGTGTTCCACTTAATCATCATGTTGTCAGTAACAAAAACAGTACAATATCAGATTCTGAATCCTTCCTTCCAAGGAAAGGTGAGAACTCAGAATTTAAAGGGATATACTGCTCTCTGCCAATTTAGCACTTCTAAGATTATTAATGAGCATCACTGTTTACACAGCTTTTTTAGAGAAGCAGTGCAAATAGATTCAATTAATTCCTCCATCTTGGCCTCTAGTCATTTGAATGCTGAAAAGAGTTGCAATAATATTTGACTGATTTCTCTTCCATTGATTTTTTTCTTAATTTCTCTACTCTCCCAATAGTCATAAACAAGTTTGATTACGTCTTTGCAGAAAATGGCACTGTGCAATACAAGAATGGGCAACTAGTCTCAAAGCAGGTAGGGCTAGCCTCTTTGTTTTTCCATTGATGTTACAAATATTTTCCTGCCATTCCTTTTCACATGAAATCACTCATAGTGAGAAGGTTATATTCAAAACTCTTTCAACTCATCTGGCTTCACATAGGAATCTGAAATAAAGAATAACCTTATTTTAAAAAAGAGGATGGATATTTTTTGTTGCTGAACTAGTATTTCCACCAACCCTCACTGGTGCTTATAGTGACCTAGTTTGCCAGGAACTGAAACTCAGTTATCTCTGGATGACTATTAAAAGAGTATTGCATACCATTTTAATAAACCTCCACAGAGAAAGCAAAATCTCAATGAGTGATGCCTAAAAATATTATTTTATAATGTAATGTACCAGATATGTTTGAACATTATAAATTATTTTCTTTCTGATACAAAATGCAAGATAATAGAGACATTAAAATTATATTTAATAAGACAACATTTTCTGATCCATCATCTGCTAAATGTGTTGTAACTCTCAGAAATGGCTGGAATTATTGAAAATTACAGCTCTAATTGGATTTTGAGGACACCAAGTCAAAGGAGGCTGTTTTAAGATTATTATTTTCTTTCCAATCCTCTTCATCCAGATATGACAATCTAGAAATGTCGTTGATTTTAGTACTACTGCAGAAGGTAAAATTGTTTTTTTGCATCTTAAAATTTGTTGAACAATATTTTAAGATTTCACCTACCTTGACTTCTACTCCTTTTGGCAAAAGTTTCCCTTGTTTCTAATTAACATCATGCATGGTGAAACTATCTGCTGTCTTCTGCTATCCGTATCAAGGATCATTTTTATCCATTGTATCCTTTGTTCATAGGCTATCCAGAACCATCTTGGAGAGGAACTTTTGCAAGAGCTGATCAACTTCTGCCTTAATTACATGGCTCTTCTAAAGTTGCCCAAGAAACGGTAATGCACTTTTCTTATATCGATATATGAGGATTCTATTTTACCATATAATATGTGGAATTTGGATCACAGGAAAAGAAAAAAATACCCAGCTTTCTTTTCCTAGACAAGGAATAATTTGGAAATAATAGAAAATACTTGTAGCTTAGGTTTTAGATTTTGGCTGTGGTTTGTACTCCAAGCTTATTTTAATATAATTTCTGAATGTTTTGTTACCAAACTTGGCAACATCAGCATTTTTTGTCCTATTCTCCTTAGCTTATCAGTGTCTTATGTGCAGTGTAGTTAGTTGGTCATGTGATTGATTGTTTGTTTGGAGGTATATTTGAATTCTAAGAAGCTGATTGGTTCTCTTGATTGGCACTTGAATGGTCTGGTTTCTTACATATTCATATGTTGGGTCTAGATCAATATGCTTCTTAATTGCTCCTTTGGTGGAATACCAGGCCTCAATAAATTCACGTGTATGGCGGGTGTTGGCATGTCCAATAATTTTTGTTTCTTCCCAATCAAATTGGTGTTTATCATCAATGTGGTTTAAGATCACGGATTTTTGGTCATGCCGTTTAACTGCTAGTTGATGTTCATGAACCCTTGTTTTCAATTGCCTTCCTGTTTGTCCCACATAGAACTGCTCACAATTGTTGCAATAGATTTTGTATACTATGTTGCTGTTGTCTTCCGTCTGAATTTTGTCTTTGATTTCGATAGCTCTGTAATGTGGGTTTATGAACTATCATTATTCCTAGGGGTTGCAGTATTCTGGCAGCCATTTCTGATATTCCTTTGATGTAAGGCAAGACTTGTTTTTGTGTTGTATCTGGCTGTGTATTTTGTCATGGTTTGGACGATAAACATTGTATTAGGAAATTTTTGGGATAGCCATTGCGGAGAAAAACATCAAAAAGGTGTTTCTCTTCTGCTTTTCTTAATAATTTGGTGCTGCAATGTGTTTTGGCTCTTTTGAAAAGGGTCTGGATGCAGCTCCTCTTGTGTGTGGCCGGGTGTTTGCTTGTCAATATCTAGGAAGGGGAGTCATTGCTCTTTTTCTTCCTCACATGTAAAACCCATCCCAGTGACTACGTTGTTGAGTAGATGGTGTGTTTCTTCTAGTCTGGTGTGTTTGATGATGGTAAAAGTGTTGACCATATAACATACCCCAAATTTTGGCTGGATGGTTGGCAGGACTCTGCATTCAAGTTTCTGCATTACTGCTTCTACTATTAGGCCAGATATAGGTGATCCCATAGGTGTGCCTTGTAGTTGTTGATAGATTTTGCCATTGAATATAGCTCCAAACAATCAGTCGCATGACGAACTGACCACACTGGCACACAAGACATTTATAAGCTAAGGAGAATAGGACAAGAAAATCCTGCTGAAGATGTTACCTAGTTTGGTAATGAAACGTTCAGAAATTATATTAAAACAAGCTTGGAAAACAAACCATAGCTAAAACAAAAAAGGAACAATTTTATCCAAGAATAATTTTTTCCCATTTTCTGATTATTTAACCATTTTGTTAGCATTTGTAACTAATTAGATGGTATATTGAGAAGAAATTCCTTAACCTTCCACCCTAATTTGAAAATAGAATATTTTCTCAAAATTAAGCAATTTCAGTTAATTATTTGGGGTATAAGTGTCGTATTCAGCCTTCTTCAGGAGGAGGAACATGGAGGCATGAACTTAAATGTTGCTGTTGAGATATTTCAGCCTGCATTGACAGGCAATTGCTTTTTAAGTGTGGGAATAGCAAAAGAAGACCTTCAATCTGCCTGGGTCCTAAAAATAACAGCTGAAAGTCTATTTTTTTTAGGTGATTTTAAATGGTGTTTGAAATTGGGGGTTGTGATTAAGAGTAAATTTGAAGTAGTTTAACTCTCACTTCTCCAATAGTTACCTGTCATAGGAAGATGGTGGAATGACAATAGAAATAGGAATAGTTGGCCTTCCAGAAATTTAAAAATTCAGTATCACTGAAATAACATCACTCAAAAATTCAGTTATCAATGAAATGGAACTGTTTTAACACTGAATTATAGTAACCCAAAATTGAAATACTATGGATTGTCAGAGGGTGCTTGTACAGGCTACATGCCTTCTTTAAGAAAGAAGTTGCACACTTTTGCTTCAACCCGGAGAGATTTTGAGCCTCTGTAACAGTACAGTGCTGCCTTCATACTTATATTCTTCTTTCTCTCCAAATATACAAAGGGGAACATTCATAGAATTTCGCAATGGAATGTTGAACATCTCTCCCATTGGTCGAAGCTGCAGCTTGGAAGAACGAATAGAATTTTCTGAACTGGACAAGGTAAATACAAGTATTAGGTTGCCCAATGCATTATTGGTGGGGATGTTTTTATTACCAGTATGATGTACAACTGCTTTAAGAATCCTGTAATATTTTAGGTAAGGGTGTATGTAAATCTTTTTTTTTTTTTTTTTAGTTTTTATGAACAGGATGTACTATGCGCAGAAGCTGAAATTGTACAAGAAGCTTAATCTAACAGGTTACTGGAAGATCTCTTTGCACAGATTTCTATGGAGAAAAAAAGTGGAATTTGATAAACAAAAATAACTGAAGTATCTCTTTTCACACTTCTGATTGCCTCCACTATAGAAAGAAAAGATACGAGAGAAATTTGTAGCAGCTCTGCAGAGGGAGTTTGCAGGCAAGGGACTGCGATTTTCCCGAGGTGAGTATAAGAAATTTCTCACAGTCATTTTGGATGCTTTTTAGTGCATTTTATTTTGAGTGGGATTTGGAAAATAAAAATCAAATTCTATTTAAAGGAGGCCTGTGGTGAATATAAAGTGATGTGTGACTGCAGGAAAGGTAAGTACAATTTTAGTTTGTATCAACTGAAATTTCCAAATCACAGGAAATAATGCTTTTACTTTGTTCAGACTCCATTCCTGTATTGCTTTGGCACACATTTTAAGAATACTTTAGAGAAGGGCAATGGAGATGTTGAAATCCAATGGACATAATTGATAAATGAGATGACGGACATTGAGCCCTATGAAGAGAGATTGAAGTAGCGGGACATATATAGCCTTGACCAGAGAAGACTGAGAGGAAATAGGAGGCCATTCTTCAAAAAGCTGAAAGGATATCAAAAGAATGCCAAGGCATTCTTGGAATGAAGGAAGGGTTATATTCAGGTAGGTTTCTCATGCAAGTGGAGCTTTGCACAGCCTGACCTTCTGTATATCAGTTCTTCACTTGGCAAAATTTCTTCCTATGGGGCTAGCAGGGCACACTGTTCCTTGAGGTCATGGATGCTGCCAACATGTCAGACTTATTTAGGTAGAAGTATTAGCCTACCAATGTAGCAGAGATGATATTCTAAGCACTCATAAAGAAGGCCCCTGTAGTATTAGAGTTAACCTGAATTACATGAGGTTAATTAACCTCAAACCACCCAGAGTTACCATGTGGTGAGATAAGTGGCTAATACATTTTACAAATAAATAATAAATGATAAACATGGGTTTATGACAGTGGTTCTCAACCTTTTTAATGCTGCGACCCCCCCCCCAACCGGTCATAAGTCGAGGACTACCCAACCGGTCATAAGTTGAGGACTTTCCCTGCCCGGGAGCGCCGCACATGAGTGGTGCCGCCCCCTGCACTGGCCGAGACATAGCTGGCAAGCGGCAGAGACGGCGCAGGCTGACCGCCGGCTGGGCCACCGGCCTCCCACCCCTGGCCCTCTTTTATTTACATTTTTAGTAGTTGCTCAGCAGGGAGGGGTGGAAACTTCCAGACAGCTCGCCTTCGCTGCAGACAACTTGCAGCACCGTTTGCAGAATGGGACTTTTGGCGGGCTCAGCAGGGCAGAGACAGCCTGGACAATCCCTATTGGCTTTTGAAAGCCAATAGAATTAGACTCTATTCAAGAGAGTCTATTCTATTGGCTTTCAAAAGCCAATAGAATAAAAGGGAGTAGCACAGCTAAGGAAAAGGGGGGGGGAATGGTGGACTGCGTTGTTTGGTGACCCCTGTGAAATGGTCATTCGACCCCAAATGGGGTCCCGACCCACAGGTTGAGAACCACTGGTTTATGATAAACATGAGTGTCTCTTGTAGTCCAGCTATACCAGAGCATGATAAAAGAATGCTTTCCCCCATTAGGCATATTGTTAGCGCATTTTCACATATTTTTCTGAAATGTACTTGAACTCTGCACATCATGTGTACTCAAACCAATTGTTTCTTGTTTGCGTCTTCAGCTGAGGGCCCACCACTAATGCCATTTAATCTCATTGCTATGGAAACATCAACTCTAACATTAATGTGTCTGGGAATCAGGCCAACACAGCAGTGCAGATCCATGTGTCATGTAAAAAAAAAAAAATTATTTGCACAAAGGCACAGTGTCTTATGCCAGAGATAGTAAAGAAAAATTTTACCACCAGCCTCCCCCCCCCAAAAAAATCTCATCTCATTTTCACTTAATTTTCTCTAAATCTGACAGGTGGCATGATTAGTTTTGACGTTTTTCCAGAGGGCTGGGACAAACGCTATTGCCTCAACATCCTTGAGGATGAGAAATTTGATGTCATACATTTCTTTGGAAATGAGACGACCCCTGTAAGTATATGACAAGACACCTTCTTTTTGACAAGAGCCCAACATGTCTAGGACCAAGGAGAATGCTTCCTTTGTTCTTATCAGAATAAGTTCTTCTCAGAGCCCAGTTACCACTATGGCTCAAAGATGTCTTCTCTGTGATCTTCAAAGTGTAATTTCAATGTTTGAAAATATCAGTAGCCATACCTGGGAGCCTCAGACATTGCCTGTTTACAAATTGAAGGGTCCCACAAATGCTTCTCTCATCAGAATTTCCAGTGATGAAGGCCTTGTTTGTACAACAAAGCCAGCTTGTATCAAGATCTTGCAAGTTATGCAGATCCACAGTCCATGATATGTTCTGGCAGTCAGGTCATTCTTTCCATGGACTGTTTCATCCACACATGAAAGGGAGAATTTAGGGACTAATCTGCTTTTTTTGGAGAACGGATTAGAGTTGCTGTAAAAAGGCTTCTTCAGTAGTTTACCCCTCCATTTTTGTTAGTTCTTCCATGGGCTTGCATGAAATGGAGACAGAAGAGCTGCCCATTAGGAGATAGCAAATCTTTCCTGGCTTTTGCTAGGCTTTGAGGAAGCCAGCCACAAGCAGGCTGTTGCCTTCCCAAAAGCCTTGCAGGAGCAAGGAAAGGTTTGCAGTCTTCTGACTGGGGCAGAAGGTTTGTCCTAAAGCTGCTGCCCTTTGCATGTAGGCAGCTGGTTTCCCAAAAGCCTAGCAAGAGCCAAGATAGATTTGCAGTCTCCTAACGGCCAGCTGTTTGGGCAGAAAGTTCTGAAAGTAGCTGCCATTTCTGCAAAGAATTGGTTTGCTGAAAATAGCAGCTCTTCCGGGATGTGTGGAGAACAAGCCCAAGCACTGCAGGCTTCTGGTGGGGTGGCATGGGGGGGGGGAGATGGGGAGGTACTGGAGTGTACCTGTAGTTGATCTCAGAGCGAATTACATGGGGATGCTGCAGCTGCCATAACTTAAAAACAGGGTTGTATGTAGCTTTTAGGATGTATGTGTCTGTCATAACTTCAAACAAATGTTAGGTGACCAATCATATATTGAGGACTATCTGTATGCATTTTTTAAAAGAGTCACTAACTTTGGGATGTGAGTAAGATCCTTTTTCTATCTATGAAGATTAAGATTAAGACTTTTATTCTGTTTAAATTTTATTCTTGCCTAAACCAGTTCTTAAGCCCCTTTGTATCCTTTCTCAATTATGGATTTTTAGATGGACTATAATTTCCCAGGGAACTGGCACATCCAGATTGGCATGGGCTAATCTAAGTGGAGCCAGGTATCCTGTCTCAGTGGAGGCAGAGGATTGGATATATGTTTTTTCCATAATTGCTGTCACAGCATTTCCAGCCTCATGAACTTCAAAAGTATAAAGCAGGTGAACTAATATTCTTTATATCTTTAGGGTGGGAATGATTATGAAATCTATGATGATCCTCGGACAGTAGGACATAGTATCCACTCTCCCCAGGACACAGTTCGACGATGTCGAGAGATATTCTTTTCAGAGACAATGAACAGATCTTGACTCTTGGATCTTTTGCTGCTATTCTTCTTGTTCACTTCATAAAAGCACCTTTTGAATTATAATCAAGGCTTGCTGAAGCCCAAGGTTGAAATGCACTTTGGAAATGGAGGTGAAGTGTGAAAAGGGAAAGAGAGTTAAAGTGCCATCACCAGTTTGTAGTAGTAAGAATCTGCAGAACTCTGACTGCCATATTTCATCCTCCCAGCCCCTAAAACAAAAAGATTTGTTTTAAGGAAACTGTGTCCTTTTTCTAAAACTGTGAGAGAGTAGGAGAGAAATAGAAAACTGGTAATCTCTTCATATATTCACCCAAATCAATTTTTGAGATTAAAATAATAATAATAGTAAGTTAAGTAGTAGGCTAGTTCTGCTTGCTGCTGGCTGCCAGCAGTCCGGCAGTTCAATTCTCACTGGCTCAAGGTTGACTCATCCTTCATCCTTCTGAGGTCGGTAAAATGAGGACCCAGCTTGTTGGGGGCATTATGCTGACTCTGTAAACCGCTTAGAGAGGGCTGTAAAGCACTGTGAAGCAGCATATAAGTCTAAGTGCTATTGCAATTAAAGGGAAAACAACCTTATCTTTCAAAGTATTTTTATATTCTTGAACCCATAAAATGGTCTGCCATTTTTTTAAAAAATTGGAATCAGGTCTTTTTTCAAGCTAATAATAAATAGGGAAAACACCCCTAATCCATTACTAGCCATGCAGAATGCAGAGGGAGGTAGAAAGTAAATACAGATCCTATTGAAAGTGATTAATCATAAGACATCGCCATTCTCAGCTTTCAGTATCCATTAGAATATTCTTCTGTGGTTTCTGATCTAATATGTGAAATCATCTATTTAAAGTATGACTTTGGTGCTCAGGTTTATTTTATCATAGATAATATATTTTTGGTCCAATAAAAGTACAGTTTGTGTTTTGAGGTCAACACATCTTAGTAGCCTTGCATTTTACAACTGCACCTTCCCACAATTAGGTCTGAGGAGCAGCCCTTGCTTTAGCTTCAGTTGTTAAAATATTGTTTGCTTGCACTTTCTTCCCATTGCCCAGTCAGTCTGAATCTTCAAGCAGGGTTGTACTTTATCACCTTAGTTATCCAACCTAATTAGAGAAGTGCTGGCAATAGCATTTAGATCTAATAACCAGATTAATGGAATAAAAATGGGAGATATATGCATTATAACTAAAATAGTAATAAAATCTTTACAAATAATTATGTACTAACTTGAAAAAAATGAAATAAATGAAAAACTGGGCTTCAAAACATTTCAATATTTTAGGATGAACTGCAGTGATTAAAATGAAAATTCTTGCACAGATTTTTTATTTCAGTGCCTCCTTGTGGTAACTCCTGAATAGGCTTTAAGATATTGGCAATAAATAAATAAATAAAAAGCTTCTATAGTATTTTAATGCACAAAAACTGAGAGTAAATTAAAGAATTTATATAGATCACAAAAACAGGGAGGTTGGATCATGCCCAATTTGTTAATACATTATCAAGCATTGCAGTAGGGCATATGATTCTATTTATCCTGGGAAAGTTGTCTCAACAATGAATTCATTTTGAAACTACCGTGTTTCCCCAAAAATAAACCCCTCCCTGAAAAAAAGACCTACCCTGATTTGTGGGGATGAGCCTAATATAAGCCTATTCCAAAAATAAGCCCTAATTAGGGACCCGCCTACTCTGTCCCACCTGGCTGCTGCAATGGGGCAGGAGGCCGTGGATGTGAGTTCCCACTGATAGAAGAAGTGGGCAAGTCTTCCTCCTATGGGAAGTGCGGTGTAGGAGTCACTTGGACCTCCGGTAGGGGCGTCCTGCCCCTCAAAATGGCCTCTTGGATTGGTTCTGCTGCCTGGGTTGAAAGCCCGGTCTGTCATACGGACGGTCATATGGTCTGTCCTGCCTGGGCGTGTATGAATGGGAGGGCTGGGTGGCTGCCGAACCTGCTGCCGGCCGAAAGGACTGCCTGCGGAAATAGAGAGTGGTATGTTTGTCGGACCGTTTATTAAGATGAGCCATGACCTTCCGCTTGTCCTTGTTTTCCACAAGGTACGGAACCAGGGCCTCCCCAAAGAGATTGTTGCCCAGATAGGGGCGGGTGCAAGACGCCATTTGGCCTTGGTGTCGGCCTGCCAGTGTTTCAGCCATAGCATCCTTCTGGCTGTAATGTTGGAGGCTAGAGACCTGGAAGCAAAGTTGGCCGACGGAAGCGTCGCATCCGCAGTATAGTCAGTTGCCGCCACCATTTTGCTTAGGTCCTGGTGAGTCCGAATGTCCTCAGAAGGGACTCTGGCCTGAAGCTGACGAAGCCATAAGAGGGTGGTTTGGACAAAGAAGGACACACAAGTGGCCGTTTTGATTGCCCATGCCGCTGATTGATGGGTCTTTCGGAAAGTTTGGTCCCATTTCCTGTCGTCCGCTTTAAGCGCCTCAGACATGTCCCCAGCGACCGCAGTCTGGGACACCAGAGGGGTCCAGGCCTTGTCTACCTTGGGTACCTCTAGAGCCTCAGTTAGGTCTGTAGAGGTACTAAAAATCTTTTTATCTGTCCCGCTTATAGAAGTAAAGGAGGAAGGGGAGACCTATTGCTTTTTGATCCCTTTAAGAAATATAGAAGGACAGAGAATGTGGTGCTGGGCTGCCACCGTTTCAAAGAATATCGGATTTGGACTAGAATCCAATGTGGCCTGCGGCTGAGGGAACTGATCGAACCCTATGTTTGCCGTTGAGGTGGCCTTGCGTTGGATTAAATAGATCTCCCGATGGGGAGGGTTCAGGGAGAAGTTCCTCTTCCTCTGATAGATTGAAGTCCGGCTGCTCCTCACCCTACGGAGATGAGTATCCACTAATTGAGGAGGGTGCAGGAGATGTGGGTTCCTGAAATATAGGGATCCCCGTAGGAGGGACATAAGGTGGCATAGCTGATGTGGGAGCCTGCTGCCCAGGTGGATGGAAGGACAGTTCTGCTAGAGCGCGGTCCACAACCTTGGATAGTTTTGAGCTTGCCTGCTGCCTCCTGTTCGGAGGTTTTGTGCCGGACGTAACTGGAGGATGGGGAGGCAGTGCTCATGGGTTGAGGCACCGTGGAATCCTCCATCCTGGGTTGAGCTGTCTCAGGGAAACTGAGGTGGAGCTCTGGCAGGCAAGCAGTTGGCGGAAGCGAAATTGGAGCAAGTAACGAGGACTGCTCCCCTGACTACCCGACCGGAAAATCAAATCTATTTGGGTTTTGGTCACGGCAATTGAGGCTGATGCCGAAGACACGGTTGGGGACCCACTATGGGCTCTGCCCGGAGGCCTTATGTGGCCAGTCAAGGTGCACCAGACAGCCCAATGAAGGGTGCAGAGGGCCTGAGGAAAGGCCTGACAAGGAAAGGATGAGGTTCAAAATGGCGCCTGAGCCATTTGAGCGTGGTAGCAAGTGGTATGGAAACGCCCCTCAAATGCAGAAGTTACGGAAAGAGACAGAATTTGGCTTCAATGCAAGAAATGCAATGGAAGATAATTGGATTATTGTACAATGCCCATTTTCCATGAGATAGGTGACATGAAAATTTGATAGATTGGCTGATAAATAGAACATAACCTTCTCGGTACTTTACTCCTGTTAGGCTGCACATACTGGATATATCAAAAATATTCTTCTAAATTTTGGAGGTGTTAAAGTCATTTTTTTCATTTGTGGTAGTCATGCAATAAAGCTATAAAATGGATGCCTTTAACTACAATACTTTCATATAACCATGGCACTAATTCAGAGACTTGAGAGCAGGCATTTCATCACTTGCTTCCTTCTTCATAAATTGTATTGTGATGCAATTAGGTCTTATAAAGAAATAAAAGGATGATGAGAAGAAACTGGTACTATGTTTCCCCAAAAGTAAGACCCGGTCTTAATATTTTCTTTTGCCTCCAAAAGATGGATCAGGTCTTATTTTCGAGGAGTGTCTTACCTTAGGACCATCACAGGCAGGCCTCCCACACCCCGACACCTGTTGTGCCACTGCTTGCTTTCTTCTGTGGCCGCTTCCCGCCACTTGCCACCAGACGCTATGTGGCGCATTGTGCTGTTGCCGCTGCTCACAGCAGGACACTGCATGGTGCTTCGGGCCGCTTCTGCTCCCGCAGCACTTCAGGCCTCATCCACTGCTCGCGGCAGGACACATGGTACTTCAGCCCAAAGCGTTGCACAAGCAAGCACAAGCAGCCCGAAGTGCTGCACAAGCAAGTACAAGCAGCCTGAAGTGTGCAAGCAGTGGAAGCGGCCTGAAGCGCATGTGACCAAGCACAAGCGGCCTGAAGCACTGCACGAGCAAGCAAAAGCAGCCCAAAGCGTGCGAGGAGCAGAAGTGGCCCGAAGCATCATATGGTGTCCTGCCGTGAGCAGCAATGGTGCAATGCACCACATGGCATCCGGAAAATGGCAGCAAGCAGCTGCAGAAGTAGTCAAGCAGCAGCAAGTGTCGGGGTGTGGGAGACCTGGCTGTGGTGGTCCTACTGGTAAGCGGGTGCGGGGCACATAGGGCAGCTTTACCACCCCTAGCCCTGCCCTAGCTTAATTTTGGGGGATGCGCCTCACCCCAGAACTAGGGCTTAGTTTTGGAATAGGGCTTATATTAGACCCACCCCCCCCCAAAATCAAGCTAGGGCTTACTATTAGGCTGGGTCTTACTTTTGGGAAACATGATATTATTAATGTAATGAAATTGACCCATTTTTTTCTGAAATGCTGAGGCTTTTGCTTTAAAATAAATATTGCCAGCTCTTCTTAGGTTAGTTTCCATTCCTTTTCCAGCAGGTGGGATATGAAGTACTTAATACAGGGATCTACTTATTACTGTGAAAGCCAAAAGTGTCTGTTTCTCAGATGGATCAAAAAACAGACCCCTCACTTTATTAAGCAGGAATGTTTATTTTGATGCCATGTATATTAAAGAAATCCAGCTATTTTTCTGTAGCTACAGATTTGTGGACTTTGTTGACAGGCAGCTTTTATATCATTATAAAAGTATGACATTAATAAAATTGAGTTAAACATGAGAACCTACTACTGTCAAATGTCTGTTTTGTAGTTTACATATGTAACTTGGTATAAAAATAAAAGTGAAAACACAGTAGGAGATCAATAAACAATATGACTTTACACTGGTTCATTAAAATTTAAGCTAAAATTTCTATCTTTATAACTGAATGGTTTGCAATGTGTTAAAGAATATATGATTTATTATCCTCAGCTTAGAAATGATAGATACTACCAGATAAAAATCATTAGGTTCATAAAAGTCACTGGTAAAATCCATTAATAGGGACACTTGCAAACTTAAAAGTAGCAGAGAGTAAAAGAAAATGCCTCATCTGAACCTAAGAAAGCTACTACTAATACTGGGCTAGTGATTTGACTTCACTACTAAGTAATCTGAATTCACTGCTAAATAAAACTGCAACATTCCAGAAGTTGTTTAGTGCCACCTCTCATTAGTTTTAAACAATATAACCAAAAGCATAGAGTGATAGGAGCTGCAGTCTACCAGTGACTGGAGAGGAAATACTGCCAACCCTAAATGGACTGCATATATTATACTGCTAACCAAAAAAGTTTCCAGCAGATTAGCGTCCTTCATCTCTGCATCACAAATTCTAGGAACAGCTACCCTGTTCCCCCCAATATCCTTAGACATTGTCATGTCAAAAGACCATTGTTAAACCAAAAAATTTCAGAACAGGGAAGACTCTTGGAAAGTTACTTTAATGATTTATTGCCAGTGTTACAAAGATCAACATGGGATTAAAGAGGCAAGAACCACACAAAACGTTGTCAGAACACAGACACATTATAGATAACAAGGTTATTTCAGAAAGAATTAAAAAGCATTCCCAGAGAGAAGTCACAGTTTTGTGGCACTCCCACTGGTATTGCACCATCAAGGAGGGAGATACGCTAGAAGCTGCTGGTGTTACATGTATGCAGGAAGTTCCTCCAGCTGTCACAGGAAGCCTGTCTCATACAGCAAAAGGAAAATGGCTGCTTTCAGATTCTCACTTCTTTGGACTGCTGTTGCATCTCAAGGAAAAGTCCCCAAAAAATTCTCCCTCTATATCTATACACAGATGAATGATAATTTCTTTCAAAATCACTATACTCCATTATCTCTTGCATGTATGGACTTTCCTTTCAAAATAGACAATTGGGAATGTTTTATTTGGAATTTTAATTGAAGGAGGCAGAATATTCATATCATTTGTCACTGGCATAATGAGGACATTTCATGATCAAGGGAACAGTAATGTCCCACAGAATGAGCTTAACCAACTTTTTTTATAGCTTTGCTTGGAAAGAACTCATTTCTTATCACAAACACAGTTGTAATAATTCCACACAGAGACTTCTTGGAATATGTTAATTAACAGTATATTGGGAACAGGGAGAATGTAGGGACTGTTTTATTTTAAGTTCCCTATATGAAAAAACAAACTCATGAGGGAGAACTAGGCTAGAACATTTCTTAAAGCTCTACTCCAATTCTACCCACATTGGGTTTATGGGGGAATATTTTAAAAACTTGGCCGTAGTGTAACATCCATCCAAGAAAGAATTGCATGAAAGCCTTTCATATATACACCATTCCAAGTGTATTGAAATGGCAGATCCCAGAATTTCCACACAATGTGGCTTTTCAGTTGTAGTCCTAGCAAATCAGAAGAGAACTAAGTTGAGAAAGATTATGTTATAGCAATGTTCTTCAAACTTGGCAACTTTATTATATGGACTTCAGCTCCCAGAATTCCCCAGACTGGCTATGTATATTTGGGATATGAATTTCAAGTTAGAGTTGCTAAGTTTGAAAAACACTGTATTAAGAGTGGCATCCTTAAAGCTAGTTCTGGTATTATTTGGAAGTCCCCAAATCCTTATAGCATTGAGGGCTTTCTTTTTAATCTTTTCGGGTTGAAATATAAATAGAGAGGAACTCAACTCCTTCTGGCCACCTTGCATAAAATTTCTCATGATTCTAGGTTGGCAGTATACTGTAGGACTAAACTATCTGTGTGGGATGTCCCCCTTGAAAACTAAATATGAAGATCAGGCTGTTGTCAAATGTCTATTTCTACAGAACAACAGCCTATCCTGAACCCTCCGTCTCACCTCACACCTAAGTGCAAGTTTGTAAAAGATCAAAGGGGCTGAAATCCCACAAATAGAAACAGTAAAGGTATGCTGGACAGACATTCACACACACATACCACCTCATTAAGGACACTGGAAATACATCCCAAATGCAAAAAGCATATCTTTTATAGACACCAGCATACTGCAGTACCATTATGCTATAGCTCTACTTTCAGACTTCCTCATCTCATTCAAGAAAGCCTCACTAAATCCTCAGCTCTCACATTCTTACTACATTTATTTAAACAAACTCACTAATTCCTAGAAATATAGTGCTTGCTTCCATGCATTAATATAAAAACTTACTAGCCATGTACATCTTTTCTCTCCAAGATCATGCAACTTCAGTGTGGCACTGCCCATATGCTTTCAACTCAGCAGACGATACAGTTCAGACTGCCTGACAATTCCATGCAAGTTGTGAGCATGTACATGGTATCCTGGGAAATTCTTCTTAATCCACTAAATCAATATTGTGCTTTTAAACAAGACCCTGTATATCCTGAGGAATTAAGATGTTGGGGAAAAGACTGAATAGAATTGGAACAACTGAAGGACAATACTACTGGATACCATTATTTAATACTACCCATTAATCTTACCTCTGCTGAACATTTCTTTATCTCTTCTGCACATAATCCTCAATGTCTATTCACACAGAGGATAATCATTAAAATGTTGAAGTTTGAACAGAAGGGAGAATGGGAGAATTAGCCTAAACATCCATTCTGAGCAAATGTGTTGTGAAAAATATTCAGAAGTGCAATTACATGCAGATAATACTGAAACCTACATCTGTGAAAGCGTAATAAAGATGCTATTCTTCAAGCAGATCTTCATGGCCAGAAACTATCATTCATAATATAAGAGGATAAAACAGATGCTTCCTGGTGATTTTATTTCAGTTTTTCCTAGCACAATATAGACCAAATGAGTTGGAATTGCAGCTCCCAGTAACATCGGAGACACTATTTTAAGAAGACCATTCTAGTCCCTTTTGAATGTTAATAATAATATAATCTTCTAACAAAGAAAGCTTCATCTGCAGGGGATTTTATTATTATGTATTATTTTTAGTAGACACAAATGCAATCATGGGCAATACTTAACACTGTATATGGAAAGTACAATGTCAGCAAAATAACACATTTCAGTAGAGGCTGAATTCTAGAATACCCTTGGATACATACTTTTAATTGCAATTAATGGAAGATCATGTATTACCATTCCTATATTATATTTTGTTACCCTTTTAAAAAACAGATGCAATTTAGTTTATAATTAAGAGAAAAAATAAGAAAAGTTATTGGTTAAGTATAATATGAATGTATATCACAACAGTCTGGAAGCAAGATGCTGCTACAGTTCAGGCTAACTGGGACAAACCACTGTGGTGCATATGGAAAAAAAGTCAGTTTGAGATTAATACATTTAGAAAAGTTTCTTCTTCAACAACCTGCAAAATTTTACTGACTCCCTTGCATAACAATAAACAGAAGATCCTGATTTTGGTAATATCATCTTTTATAAGACCAAAAAAATACCTCCACCCATTTTACACATATTTGAACAAAACTTCACAGTGAGTTATTAATTTGTCTTTAGAAATGCTCCTCCCTTAGTGTTATATTCTATTGGATTACTGCATAATTACTTCAGACACTATGCATGAAGTGTTTTTGAAAGAAGACTTGAAGCTATAACTATAATTATATACGCAACAGTGGTAACCATGCCATTGATCTCAAACCCAGCCAAAGATAAATAGAAATGTAGAGAAGTGCAATCCAAATGCAGGAGCAAGCCTATAGGCTCTTTCTTTGCATATGATTATACATGTAAAGAAATACAACACACACACCCCAAAAAAACTTCAAACATCCCTGCAGGTGATTTAGAAAACTCTGGAAGAATGACAGCTTCACCATGTTCGGACCATACAGAATTGTGCCCTGAAAAATACTATCTCACTAAATGCCAGTTCTGCCTGAGAAAGATGCTTAATGACAATGCAACAGCCTCTGCTGAAGATGGAAGGGAAAATTTTGTTAAAGGGATAGGATAATAGCCAATTTCATTTCTAATTTATTTAGAATAGAACCAGGTAAACATCAGTGTGGCCAATATATACTACTTTGACAGTAGATTACTTTTGTCCTATTGGGTACAGTCAGGAATTCATGACTTAAGTGTAAATCTATCCAGCAACACTTTTCCACTTCTTGCTTGCCCTTCTATAACAAAAAAACACATTTACAAACTAAGATTAGATCTTAGAAAAGACAAGATAAAATTGCAAACATGTCACACAGCAAACAAAAATTGCCAGCCTGGTTCTTTCATTGCTCCAGTAGTTCCACCACCCACCATATCATTCAACTCCACTTCCTGCAGGCTCAAGAAGTAGTTTAAGAGCCAATTATTTGGCCTGACCATGTTTCATGTTTTGTATGTGGTGCTAAATGAGTGAGCACCACCTCCACAGCCTGGAACTTCTGATTCTTTGGTGGGATGGGACAGATTTTATATGTGACCTCATCTCCTTCTACCGGGACATATTCCCCCTCAATGCTGAAAAAGAAAAAGAGGAAAGAGTATTTCAGAGCTCTGAATAAAAATATCGAGAAAGAAATTGATGCAATTAAACTGTCAGACAAGGCATAACAAATTTTAAAACAACTGCATTCCCTTTAGGAAGCTTCAATGCATCAGTATCTAAATAAGCAATTGCTAAAAAAACCTAACATATAGAACTATCAAAGAAAACTGTATAAAATTTAACATCATAACAGGATGTGAATTACATTCCTCCAAACACAATGCATTTTGTAGCACTCTAATTTAGGAAGAATTCTGCCATCATAGAATTAAAATG